TTAACTTTTATGGTGAGGAAAGTAAAATATGATCAGGTAGGGAAAATTATTGAGAATGTGTATCTTGCTGGAGAAAAGGAAAGACCACTTTAATCTGCTCACTGGGGTTGATTTTTAGAGTTTTGTAAGGTGTTCGTGTACCACAGCACTGGGGGCATTGTGAAAATAGAAGTATTTATATTTCTTCTCTGCTTTTTTCCACCAAAGTTGCCATTTTCTGCCTAGTTTAATGCATGTGTACTGATAGTAATACAATAGGAGAATTTATGATTACTGCTTAAACTACTTCTTAAATAACTACTACTCTTCTAAATAAACTATGCCTTTTATCAGGTTTACGTTATGAAATAAACTCAGTTTAAAATTTGCCTGCTAACTTAAAACCACCCTCATACTTCTCAGTGTGGAAGAACAAATAACCATATCGTCTTGCATACAACACGTTTCTCCCCACCATTGAGGTGTGTCTGTTAAGCAGGGAAGCTGTTTTCATCATTGGAAAAGAAGTATGCCTGGAGACATTATAAATGCCATGCAGCTGCCAAGATGGCTGCTACCTATCTGACGTAAATCGCTGGAGGGGCAGAGGGTTCTCTGAACCCTCTCTCAGCTGTGGGTATTGACTGAGTGCTGTAGCTTGTGCCTGAAGCAGCAGGTGAGCTGCTGGTAGCATGTAGATGGGGCTTGTGGTATGGAAATGGCACTGTTTACATAAAGAACTATTTTCACCAAAGAATTAATCTTGTTACTCCCTTTGCTGGGTCTGGGGCCTAACCAGGTGTGATGTAGAATAAGTGCTCCTGGAAACAGTTTGTGTCCAGGAAGTGTGACACCCAGGAGACAGTCTGGGTGAGGCAACAAGAACTTCCTGCCACACCAGGAAGCAAATACAGTACTGACTAATAAATCTGACAATGTGGATTGCATTAAGTCTCTCAGTAAAGTTAAGCAAGTGTGGAAATCTGGGATTGTACTTTCATTTTGTGTGTGGTTATTCTTTTTCTTTGTAGTGGGAAATGAAATCTGCTTTTTTAGATTCTTGTAGAGGTAGATTTTGCTAATCCATGAGAATTGGTGATGTTAAGTAAACAAAAGTGAAGCTGATCTGTCCAGTTTCATTATTCAGGCTGGATGTAATGAAGTAAACCAACATAAATATTTAAATTTAACTTAGTTTTAATCATGAGTTTAGAATTGAGTTACCCGAGACTGCTTTGTGTGTAATGTCTACACGGTTTCTAATGCATTCACTTTATTGTCTTGTGCATAACTGATTCCCGAATTCCTGCTGTTTAGAAGACTTTGAATAACTGTTGTGGGACCAAGAAGTACGAGTGAACGATGTTTTTCTCCCTCCAGGAAAATTCTCAAAACAAACATGATACATTACCCTTCTAGAATTTAGAAACAAATGAAGCACATTAGCAGGAAGAAAACAGGAAGTGGGAGTACAAAAAAAAAGGCAACATTACATGAGATAGCTCTACATTAGACTCTGGATTATTCTGGTAGACCAGTTTTGGGTTACTGTTTAACACCTTACTGACAGCTGTTAACTGTTGCGCATAATGCAATGAATTGTAATTTGAAAATGTTGAAATATTGTGAGGCCTCCATATAAAAACTGTACTAAATGACCAATTTTTTTCCAGTGAAATAATACTTTAATAACTTGAAAAATACTTAAGTGGGGAGAAGTCATTATAGTACTGTTTCCTTTTGAAGAAGTGTTGCTTTTTTTTTTTCTTTGGAGATAAGGATTCAGCCAGTAGAACAGTGCAGTCATGCAGAGCAGCAATAAGTGCTAGGTATAGAGAGGGGGTGAGCAAAATACAGCTCATGGGCCAAATCTGGCCTCTGGAGCAAATTTACCTGGTCTTGGTCCTGTCTGGTAATGGCTGAGGCACTTCTGTCTTGTGCCAGCCTGGCATGGAATGGGGGTGCCCTAGCACCATCTACCTTCCCTGGTCCCGGCCCAGTCCTGGGCACTGCAAGTAGCAGGGCATGGGAGTTGCCTCTGATCCACCCCTATTCCTTTCCTGCTTCTGGGCTGTGCATCCTGGGCCAGGGGAGGCAACAGGCAAGGGAAGGCAGGAGGGAGTCTAAGTTGCTCCCAAGATTCCTCCATGAGGCTTGCAGCCTCTTTCCCTTGTGGGTGCTGCAGCCTTCCAGCAAGGCCCGGGGATGGATTCCAGCTCTGCCCTGACCCTGTGCTGTCACTGTCACAAGATTCTGGCCCTGGACACGCAGTTCCAGGGACCTGCACGGGCAGGGTGTGTGGGTGAGCAGGGAGCGGTGTCCGGGCCCAGGGCTGGGATCATGTGGCAGTAACAGTGTGGGGCTGGGGTGGGGCAGAGCTGTGATCTGCTCCCTGCACATCCCTGCCTGCAGAATCTGCTCCTGTCACGGGCATGCAGGCAGCAGATCGTGGCTCTAACCCAGCCCTGGCCCATATTGTCACTCCCTCCTTGTGATCCCAGCCTCACCCACCCCTCCTGCTCCTGAAGACCTGCTGCCTGGGGTCCTGTCCCACGTAGGGAGTTTTGGTGAGTTGGTGTGGAGGGAGTTGGGGGTGCTGTCCTGGCCTGCAACAGCTCACCAAAACAGCCTATGTAGTCTTCAGGCCCAAATAATTGCCCACCCCTGATGTTGAGCATGTAGAGTTTGACTGCCACACATCATACTGCTTCTTGTGATTTGAGGCTTTTAATGGGATACGGAGAATTTATTGTTCTTCTAGCTATCTTCATAGATGTAGGGCTGGAAGGGACCTTGTAGATCTTCTAGTCCGACCCCCTGCCCTGGGCAGGAGAGAAAACTGGGTTCAAATGACCCCAGCTAGGTAAACATCAAGCCTTCTCTTAAAGACCCCCAAGGTAGGAGCCAGCACCACTTCCCTTGGAAGTTGGTCCCAGATCCTAGCTGCCCTGACTGTGAGGTGTAGTGCCTTCTAATGTCTAGTCTAAACCTATTCTCTAACAACTTATGGCCGTTATTCCTTGTTACTCCAGGAGGTGCTCGGGGGAACAAGGTCTCTCCCAATCCATGCTGGTCCCCCCTAGTAAGTTTATAAATGGCCACCAGGTTCCCCCTCAGCCTTATCTTGCGAAGGCTGAACAGGTTCAGGTTCTGTAGCCTCTCCTCATACAGTCTGCCCTGCTGTCCCCAGATCATGCGAGTGGCCCTCCTTTGGACCCTCTCAATGCTGTCCACATCCCTCCTGAAGTGCGGTGCCCAGAACTGGACGCAGTACTCCAGCTG